CGGCCGCCTGACTCCCAGTAAGAGGTGCTCTGCGAGGGGGCAGGTCGGATGGTTCATTAATTAAGACCCCCGTTCTTGGTCTGTCCGACCTGCCATATCAGAGATAGAGTTCTGAGGGGGTAGGGACGGACGTATCAGCGTCCGCCCGAGAAGAGGAAGGAGGTCCTTCATAGAGTAGCAAATAGGCCCCATCCATGACCGTGTTGGCATATTGGGGGAACCTCAACCCCAGAGTTCGCTCGGACGTTCCCCCCGTAGTAGAAGCGCGTTGAGTTCTTTGGCGCTCCTCGAAAGATGAAGTTACTTCCACGGCCGAGCAGTGAGTGCCCGTGGAAGCGGTCGTAGGGGTGGAAGAAGGGGTCTCTAAGTCAGTATTATTTGGGTCATATGGAGGCCTAGGGTTCACCAGACTTCCGTCTGGATTTCTGGCCGCATGACGATCGTGCGTCTGCATCGTCCGTGCCATGTTCGACTGTAGGGACAGAGAAGAATGGGTGGATGTGAGTTGGTACGCACTAGAAATGGACCCACTCCATGAAGGAGACAACTCGTCTCCGTCCACTCTAGACTCCTCAGTCCCAGGAGAACGACCGCCTCATGAGGAGAAACGGACGAAGCCGAGTGTTGAGCCAGATTTTAAATGAACAAAGAAATAAAAATGCAAGGAAAAGAAAATAGGCGGCCTACCTCTGTACGTGTTGAAAACTTGGAAGCCTTGAATGTTGATCGGAAAACTCAACAAAAGTGCCCGGAAAACTCAAACGGATGGCGGAGCTCTCGAAGATTCAAAGAAAAACACACTTTCTCTCTCTAGAAGCTCTGACTTCTCTCTAGAAAATGTAAAGTTCCAAAGTGAAAAAATGAAGTCAAACCCCTTGTATATATAGGCAAAATTTATGGGGGTAAGACAGTAAATTCATCTTTCCCGCCTAACAAAGCTGAACGGTTATAATTTGAAAATGTGACCCAGAATTTGGAGGGACAAGGAGCAACTCCGTTAAATTAGGCGGAAAAGAAGATGAACTAATAAACGGCACGTCCAAAGAGAAGTTGGCAGAGCTAAAGCTCCCTCCGCAATGGCAAGACGCCGCATCTCCCAAAAGCGAGACGGCCTACCTTCGTCCGCGCCGTTTGTATAGATAGGCGTTCACTCTAAAATTGTCAGGCGGACAGAAAACTGACAAAACCCTAATACGCTTATACGCACCAAGGCTATTTGAGGTCAAAGGAGTCGGCCTGTAAGCGTACGAGCCACCCCTTCTGAGGGGCAAATGTTGAGGGTAAAAATACCTCGTATACGTGGACCAATCTCATAGTGACACGTGGCCCAGCTATAGGGTGACACGTGTCACCACGGGAAGATGCCACGCAATTCAGAGCTTTTAAGGTCTCAGGCCAATCTCGTAGCGACACGTGGCCCAGTCAGAGGGTGACACGTGTCGTCATGAGAAGATGCCACATGTTTAGGGCATGTGTTCCCTCTTTAATCAGCACGCCAGAAAGCCCTAACAACGTTAGGGCCCAAATCCCGTGAGATATCAATGAAAGCCGCAAAACGGCGCCCCCAAAGTAGCATGTGGCATTCACTAATTGCGCAGCCAATCACGCCACGCAAATCTAGGGTACAAACCCTAGAAAGGGGCACGAGTCCCACCCCTATAAATACCCTAATCATTTATGATGGGAGGGGTGGATTAAGACATTTACAAACAACAGAGCATTAAGTAGCTCCAATTTCTCTCTACTTTCTCTCTCTAGCCTTTTCCGTTCCGATCACTAACTTGATCGTCGGAGGCGAATATTCCGTTGATCGGAATATTCGTTGTTTTGCAGGTTGGACCGTCTCGTTGCCAGAAGAGCGTGACCAGTATCCCAGGAAATCCAAAAAACCCCCGAAACAATAACGGTAAATTAACTCTGTGATTGTAATACGTAGCGAAAGCCCTTTATGATTTGATTAATTGATGCATTGATGATTGATTGTTATGTTTTACCTTGGAATATTTTTTATTGGTGAACCTATGCCCTAGGTCTTTTATTCATTGATTCCCCCCTACTTTTATTTCTCCCTACTTTTATTCTTCGTAGTATAGTTCCTTTATATAACAACAAATTGGTTACTTAATAATTTAGATTACTCTTAATTAATTAGGAATAAATTGACTTGTTTCCTTGTAGTTCGACCCTGCTTCCCTATCTGCATAGTTAGTGGACTTAGGAATTGTTTTTGATAAGGTAATACGACTTTAGCCTATCAGTTAGTTGGCCTGAAAATTTGTTAGAGTACCTAAAGGATGAAAAAAAAACTGAGTACCCAAAAGGTGAAAAAACCAACAATTGAGTACCCAATTGTTGTCTTAACTCCCAAAATTTGCTTATTTAGCATCATATGTGTCATAATAATACCTATTTGTCGTCTACATGGCGCAACGCTTGGCGAAAAAATGGAATAACAAGTGTCACTGTCGCTTGGTCTAGCTGCGAGACCTGCTTTATTTATTAGAAAGTATATCGATGATAAAATTTTATACATAATTTTATCTGATAAAAATTTATCCAAAATTTGATTATTTAGCATCGTATGTGTCACAATTAAGGCTGTAGCGGTCCAAAACCGGACCAAAACCCGGAATCGATTTTTTTTGGGGATTGGGACCAGACCGTAATCAACCGGTCCGGGTTCCGGTCTAGACCTGTTTATTCCGGTTCGGTCCGGTTTTGGACCAGAATGGACCGGTTACATTATTTTTTAATTTTTCTTTTTCATTTTAGTATCTTAATATATACATACATTTTTAACGTCTTGTTTTTGTTTGCGTGCTTTCCTATTTTGCATTCAAAATTTATAAATTATAAGTTTTGTACCTAAACTTTTTAGAAATTTAAACATAAAATTTAAAATTTCCACCAAAAAAATTACAAAATACACTTTCCGGTCCATTCCGGTTTTTACCCGGACCGGACCGGAAACCCGGAATCCCCAATTTGTGAGGGTCGAAGACCGGACCGGAATCAACCTGTCCGGTCCAATTCCAGTCCGGTCCCGTTCGGTTTTTCGGTCCAGGTTCATTTCTGCACACCCCTAGTCACAAATGAAATGCCAAGTGTCATTGTCTCGTGGTCTGGCTGCGAGACCGGCTTTATTTATTAGTGATATAATATGATATAAATTATATTTTTTGTAGGAAATAAATGTTTCCTCTTAAACTTTATTTGTTTTTCAAAAGAATCATTTATAAAATGCCTAGGAATATTATTGTTTTTTTATTTTAAATTAAATATTGAATTACATTCTCTAGAGAGTTTTATATTGAACGATTTCCCTTAATATTGTTAAAATAGAAATTAATTCCCATTATGCTTCGTTTTAAAAACAAATTCCCAAAGTAGTGTCCACGTAGGATTGGTTTTCGGTTCAACTTAAAACCGCTAACGGTATTAGCGATTTTGCAATTTTTGTAAAATAAAGTCAAAAAGACCTGTTTTTATTGAAAGGCGGTATCTTTGAAGTTATAAGTGTAATTGCCAGCGCTCTCTTTTCTTGTTGTGGGCTAAGAATTAACAAAGACACAAAGAGACCTGTCGTATTGTAAGGCGGTCTCTTTGAAATAATTTTCCTGTAGACTATGCTTTGTGAATTAACCAAGGACGCAAAGAGACCTGTTATTGTTAGAGGAGGTCTCTTTTTTAAAACCGCTATTACCATTAGCGTTTTAAGTTGAACCAAAAGCAAAAAAAAAAAGATCCTACGTGGACACTATGTAGGGAATTTATTTTTAAATCAATGTATTATGGGAATTGATTTTTATTTCAACAATATTATGGGAAATCGTTCTTTTATATTTCAATTTAAAAAAAAATATTATAAAATGCCTAGGAATATCATTGTTTTTTAATTAAATATTGAGCTACATTCTCTAGAGAGTTTTATAAAATTACAATTACTTATACTACAATAACTCTTTTGAAAAATATACTCTTGAATAAGTTAACAAATGAAATTTTTTATTATTTTTATTTATTGTATGCATCTTCAAGATACGATTTACTTTACTTTTTTTTTTATTATTTTTTTTTTATAGTTCAAGATAGGATTTACTTAGTATCACCTTGATTGTATCAATTGATACATATATTTTTTTTTATTTAAATATCATACTAGCTCCAATCTTTTATAGTTGCAACTTTGGAATATTTTATATCTTTCAAATAATACCCTAAAATTGCAACTAAAAAAAATCAAAGGTAGTACTTAGCTTTATAGTTTACCCACTTTTGGTAATAAGTTAAGCAATTAGTTTACTCAATATACGATTATGTATTGCTACTATATAAATAGCTTAGAGAAAATGAAGTATTACAATATTGAAATATTTGTGTTAAAGATATGTCAAAATTTTGTATAGCTTAAAATAAAAAAGATTTGACATATCTTTAACAAAAATATTTATATAACTCTATAAAAAAAAATTTAACATAATTTTGATTAGTTTCTACTTCATTTTTTTATCTAACATATTTTTCGTAATCATTCATTTTGATCCAAATTTGTCAACTATATTTTTAGAATTTATTTTATTTGTTTATAAAAAAAAATTAAAAAATAATTTAATAATAATTATTGAAAATTACCGTGCATGGCGCGAAAACTAACCACCGGACATTGCTCAAGAAGTATCTAGTAAATTATCAAAAGTAGAGTATGCCTTTATCTACTAATTAGTGCAGCTTACTGACCTCACCTCATAAACTAAATCAACGGCATTATACTCACGGGATATAGGAACCTCATCACCGTCCGTCAAATTGCAAGCTACCATCAATTAACCTCACCGCATATCTTTTTTATATGCTTGAATTTATATTAAGCAATTAAATGATTAAAGTACAAATTGCATGTTTCCCATGAAAACAATTGTTTTGACCGTCATTTTCATGTCTATATATAGTTTATACATAATAATATCCAAAATAAGAAAAGAACAAATTAAAATTTTTTTTTTTTTTTTTTTTTGAGGGAAATTAAAAATTTATATAATAAAGATGGAAAATATCAAGTTTAGTAAGAAGAAAGTATTTTCAATTGTAATTGCATTGTTGTTGTGTTACATAGCTTCGGCATGTAATAATAGGACGTCAGCTACGAAACAACCAAAACAAGTGCAAGTGCCTTGTTTCTTCATATTTGGTGATTCTTTAGTTGATAATGGTAATAACAATGGTATTCTTACATTGGCTAGAGCTAATTATCAGCCCTATGGTGTTGATTTTGCACAAGGAGCCACAGGTCGTTTTTGTAATGGTCGAACTGTTGTCGATGTGTTGGGTAACTAGACTTTTTACTCTCTCTGTTTCATATCGTCTAACTACTTATTTCTTCCCATTTTCATCGTATTCCTACTTTATGCCGTTTAAAATATTGTTGTGATATTAGTATTATATCAATTATCAACTTTAAATTTATTTGTAGGTGTAACCGTATAACTAAAATTTCATATAAAATTAAAATTGACTAAAGTAATAATTAAGTACTAATAACGTTGTGTAACAATACACAGCTCAACTTCTAGGATTTACAGGCTACATTCCACCATTTTCAAGTGCAACAGGTGATTCTCTTATCAAGGGAGTGAATTTTGCATCGGGAGCTTCTGGTATTAGAGATGAGACTGGCAATAACTTGGTACGATTTTTTTGCTTTTTTTTTTTTTTACAATATATAGGTTGCATTTAATCGAGTTCTCGAGGTTCACTTATTTTGAAATGTTTATTCTGTTGAAATAAATGTGACAAATATTCCCGGCCTCTATTTATTTTTTCACCTCCTTTCTAACTTCCTTCGTTTTTTTGTTCTACTCATTTTTTAAAGTTCTAACCTATCACGGGAGGGATGGGGTAAAGATCAAACCCTGATCACACCGGGGAAAGATAGAAGGACTATCATCCCTCAAGTCCATGATCCTCATATTAATTATATAGTACTCTTATTATTATCGTATTCTATTAGATAGTTTAAAAATATTTTATTAAATTGCATATCTATAATTTTTGAGTAATAATACAAAGAAAGAGGAAAATACAAAGAAAGAGGAAAATATAATCCCTCAATTAATGCACAGTTTTAATATATATAATCAATTAATCAAACATTAGTAAGAACATTAAGAAGTATAAAGCTTATAATGAAAATATACATATATAAAGGCTAATCAAAAGATATTTTACATAGTAACATATGTTATTTATATATATCGTAACTTCTTGTATCTTTCCTTTATATAAAAAAAATATATGTTATTTATATATTGATAAAAAAAAATAGTCAAAGTAGATATATAAATATTTAAATAGTTTAAAAGTCAAACTATTACCATATGAACCATTGTGTATAAGTTACCAATTAGGAAAAAAGATGATTGCGTTTAAGAGTTCTAACTCATTCATAAAATGCAGGGTGCTCATATTCCAATGAATCAACAAGTGAACAACTTTGGGAGAGTTGTACAACAATTAAGGAGATTTTTTAGGGGAGATGCAAATTCCCTTCAAAATTATCTAAACAAGTGCATCATTTATTCCGGATTAGGAAGCAATGACTACCTCAACAATTACTTCATGCCTAATTACTACTCTACTTCTAATCAATTTACCCCTGAAGCTTATGCTACTGCCCTTCTTCAAGAATACTCGCGCCAACTCACGGTTTGTATTATTAACTCTTAAACAGAGGTCGTTTGATTGACAAAAAATGCACACACGAAGTGACTATGCTTAGCCTAGTTTAGCATTACAAATGTTTTCTATAACGATTTTTTAACAAATGAACAAATTCGTGTAGGATTTGTATCGACTTGGAGCAAGGAAGGTGATCTTACCAGGAATCGGGCCAATTGGATGCATTCCTTATGAGCTAGCAAGGTTCAATGGGACAGCACAAAGCCGTTGTAACGAGGACAAGAACAATATTATCAATCTATTTAATTCAGGACTAAAACAATTGGTTGATATTGTAAACAATGGTCAATTTCCAGGGGCTAAATTCGTGTACTTAGACTCTTTTAAAGGCAGCAAAGAATTGACCGCTAACAAAAAATCTTATGGTACGTATTCTTTCCTTGATCGTAATGTGAGAATATCAGCAAATCTTTCACCTTATATTAGTCGAGTTGATCTCAAGGTCAATTTGTTCACATATTTTAGAGTTTCTTATTGACTCTATTTCACCACTATGCGTATGTAAAATGACACTAGCTAGTGGTACATACATAAGACTCTCTAGTTCTGTTTAATTCATGTTTGTGTTATTGCTTGGTTATCAATTTTAAATGTTTTATTCGTTACGTGTGTAGGACTCGAGGTAACAGAAGAGGGGTGTTGTGGAGTAGGGAAAAACAATGGGCAAATTACTTGCCTTCCTTTGCAAACTCCTTGTGAAAATCGCTCCAAGTATCTATTTTGGGATGCATTTCACCCAACGGAGGTAGCCAATGTGATATATGCCAAGATGGCATACAACTCCAAGGCCAATACATATGCACACCCTATCAACGTTCGCCAATTGGCAACACTCTAATTAATAATTGTATTGTTTTTATTTTTATTTTCAAGCATCCAATTGTATTAAATTCTGTGAGTTGTATTATTTTTAATATCGTTAACTCTATTAAAACCATATATAATGGATTTGAGTTGAAGCAATGTGTGTTTGGTTAGGACCAAATTGTTCAAGTGTAGTGTGTGGAATGACCATATATCACTATTTTTTGTTTTTGGATTGAGTTTGGATGGATGTTTAAACTTATATACTTCATCTAATTAACTTTTTCGTTGGTTTTTTTTTTTTACTTGACTTGTTTTTTTTTTATCACAATTGTCAATGATTTATAAAATTAGTTGGATTTGCAAATTGGGCAAAGGGATGGGACAGCTACGGCGGTATCCAACAAAGACTAAAACTGTGTTTGAATAGAGAAAAATGGAGGAAAGGGAAGAAAATAGAAAGGAAAACTAAGGATGTATCATCCTTTGCTTGGATACCTAATGTCATGGCCGTCTAAGAGGATGTGCAAAGAGACCCTCTAAACAAGGCCTCACTATGTAATTTAAAGGGCCCCTAATAATTCCTTTTTCCCCTTACCTGAGCAACTAATATATCTATCATTGCATAAACTATGATATTTTAATTACTAATTTATAGTTATTCATCAACCAATATCTCCATAAATTTTTATCAGCCTTCTTAATATCTAAAGTTTCTATTAGTTAAATTCATTAATTACACAAATTTTATTAGAATTTTACAATTTAGTTGGATTTTATGACATTCTAAGTTCATAATTTAGATTGAATATATATATTATTGTTTGTTAATCACATAATACTGCTACATATATATTTGATAGGGACCAAACTTTTATGATGAAATTGGTAGGATTCATTTTTCTTCCCTTTTAAATAAACCAAATCCCTCCATTATTGGAGAAATTTGCAAGTTAAATGGGAGTTCACCTTCTCCCTCCCCTAATCTCTATTTCCCTTCCCTCTTTCTTCTTCTTCTCCCTTTCCTTTCAATATTGTTATCCAAACATAGTGTAATTAAATGATAACTCTAATTATGGCCAAATGCAGCAGATTGGATTTGGGGATTAGAGAATAGAAAGAGCCAAACAAATCACAAAATCTTCTTTGGATCAGTCGATACATACTTTCAATTCAATATGACACAATTATTGCAATGCTAATAATTACATAATATACCAAAATAATAATTCAAAATAAGCTCATAACATTACTAAAAGGTCAATTTAAGCGTTTTATAACACACTGAAAAATGACTATTTAGTGACCAATTAATTAAATACCAAGATTATTGGTCACCCAGTGTAGGGAATATTTCAAGTCATCACACACTTGAGCCCCAATGTGATCATACACTTAAGCATGGTGTCGTCCAAAGGGAAGGAAGCTAGATTAAAAGAGTCGCCAACAAGTTTTAGGAACTTGTAAACTGTTCACATGGTGAAGGTTACACCCCTTAACGATCCAGGAGATCGTTAACTCTAATAGGTTTGAAACCATGACTGGAAGTTCGAGGATGAAGGTACAAATCCAACCTAAAAGAGATTGAATCCGCCCTAAAAATAGGCCTCTACTTTATTCTTTTCGTATTCATGTGCGCTTTTTGACTAACATGTAATCAATAGATTAACCCTAAACCTGTTTAATATATGTTGGTTGAATATTAATGCACAAACAAATATATTATTGGCGATCACTTGAATTATAATCAAATTAGCCTAAACAAAATTATTAATTATCTTATTAAGCGTGATTACAAGTACAAATTCCCTTTAATCATGCATAAAAGGTGTGATCAAGCAATAACAATAATATATCAAGCAACATGACAAATAATCATCATCATAATAATAATCACAGTCAAAGTAACAATCATAATCATGTTAAAGCATAATATTATTAGCAAGATCCTAGGCATGATACTAACAAGATTAATAACAAACCCTAGCATGTCACTAAACAATAAAGAATAAAGCTTTAGCCCTAACATGATACTAACATGATATTATAAAGCATAAAAGGCATCCTAAACATGATACTAGAAAGCAATAATAACATCCTAACATGATACTAAGAATTAATAAAACAATCTAAGCATGCTTTCTACATCGAAATAATAGATAAGCAATTAAATTACTTACTTTGATGCCTCGTACCTTTTTCTAATAACAAAATACACACATTAGTAAGTTCAAGGAAAATAATAAACAAACAATTAAATTAAGGATTTTTTAGATATTAACACCTGATAAAAACGGAAAAATTGATATTACCACCTCCAAAAAAAAATTTATTTTAACACCTCTTAAAAAATTTAAATTAGAAGTTACCATCAGATAACGGATTCCGTGACGGCAAAAGTCTGTGGGCCCCATCATTTAGTTTTACCTGCAATTTTCACCTAACAAAATACGAATCTTCTTCCTTCATTGAATACTGACCCAACTTCTTCATTCAATTCTCTCTAAATCTTCATCTAATCAAACAAATATTCAAAGGGAAAAATTTAAACCTAATTTTGTATGGTTGAGGACCAAAGCTAGGTGTCAACATTGCAGAAGAACAATCAGCAGGTGTTCGTCATCTTCATCAAGAAAAAAGGGGCAAACGTTGCTGGAGATCTGAAAAAGATAGTCGAAAGATTCCAAAGAAGGTATTTTTTTTTATCATCTTTGATTGTGGTGCTTGGTTGATGTCAAAATTGCAATTATATGCTGAATTAGGGTTACTTTTGGTAGAAGAGCATGAAATCCTTGACAATTCAATTGACTATGCAAATTAGGTTAATTATTTAATTGACTTTGCGAATTAGGGTAATTGAATTATTTAATTGAGATTAGAGGTTATTTACAGTGGTTTATTCTTAATTAATTCATGGAGTACTTGAATTGATTTTGAATTGTTTATGCAAAAATGTTGGAATCGCTGCCTTTGCACTGCAAGTTAGATAATTAGGGTAGATTTGTTTATTCTCTTAGTGTCATTGCGCATGTTATCATATAATGTTCAATTATTGAATGGGTTTTAATATTTTTTATCCTTTTTGACTGGTGGGTAGACAATGGGGGACAATGATGGCATGGTTGACATATGTCTTAGAGTTGGAGGTGCATTTGTTCCAAAAAGAGTAAGCAAAGATAGGCAGCTTCTTGTTTGGTGTGATGGGTGGTGTTATTGGAAAAGGAAAGTTGAAGTGTCTAAGATGGATGTGCATTTGATTAGGACCGCTGCTATTCATGGGTTTGTTGAAGGGGATATCCCTATTCCTATGCATTACAATTGTTTGTATAGGGAGAAGGGGAAAATTTTTAACACTGGGAAAAGGGAGCTAGTTAAAAGTGAAGATATTAAGGGTCTTTTGGAGACAACAAATGGTGAAGGGTATGTAGAAGTATTTGTAACAGTACCAACTACTACTAAGCCCACATGTGAGGCCCAACCCAATCCACCAAAGGAAAATAAAAAGGGTAAGAAGGGCACCACTAATACTACTGTCAGTGTGAGAAGGAGCCCTAGGTTTAGTAAGGCAGAGAAAGGAAAAGAGAAAGTAGCTGAAGTGGTAACTGAGAAGGGTAGGTTGAAAGGGAAAGGGTCAGCAAAGGCAAAAGCTCTGAAGTTTGATGAGCTTGAGGATGTTGACTCTGAGTACTCAAGTGAAGATTTAAGTGATGAGGACTTGGACTGGGAACCTGGTGAGGAAGAATATGATGAAGGGGATGAGGAATGGTATATTGAAGGGTCACAGGATATTTTGGACAAGGTGAACAAAAGCTTGAAGAAAGGGCTGGGAAGTGAAATAGAAGAAGTTGTTCCCCTGAAAGATAAGAGGTCAGAGCTTAGAGAAGACTTGGATGTTGGAGATCTGCATCTTAATCTAGAGAATGAAGGAGATTCAGATGAATCAAGGAGTTTGTGTGGTTCTGATGAAGAAGAGGACATTGCTCCATGGTTCAATGCTGATGTTGACTTTGAGAACCCTATTAAGTTGAAAGTAAATCTAAAGTTCAGCAATGCACAAGTGCTAAGGAGGGCACTTAGACTTCATGCAGTTCAAAACAGGTATGAGTTCTACTTTTTGCATAATGACAGTACTAGGATTACAATACAATGTAGGTATAGGTGTGATTGTGAGTTTAACACTTACACTTGTAGAATGCCTGCTTGTACATGTGTGGGGGGAGTGAAGTGTCAATTCAAGGTCTTTGCTTCAAAACTTGTTAAGCAGCAAACTTGGCAAATCAAAAACCTCAGATTGAAACACACTTGTTTAAGAGTGAGGAAGAACAGGATGCTTACTGCTGAGTATATAACAGAGAGGTATTTGGAGGAGTTTAGGAGTAACCCTAACTGGAGAATTAAGGAATTAGGGCTAGGATGCTGAATGATTTGGTTATTGAAGTGACTTATTTTAAGGCATGGGTAGCAAGGTGTAGGGCAAAGTTGATTATATTTGGTTCTGCTAGGGAGCAGTATGCAAAGGTGTGGGATTATGGGAAAGCTGTGATGAAGTACAACCCTGGTTCTGGGTGTAATATTGTTGTTGATGGTATTGATAGGCCAGAACAACCCTTGTTTCTCAGAATGTTCATGTGTTTAAGACCTCTGAGAGATGGTTTTACAAGAGGTTGTAGGCCACTTATTGGGGTGGATGGTTGTCACCTCAAAGGTGCCTACCCTGGGCAGATTTTGGTGGCAGTGGCTAAAGATGGGAACAACTAATTGTTCCCCCTAGCCTGGGCCACAGTGAAGGTGGAAAACAAGGAAACTTGGGGTTGGTTCTTAGAGTCTCTAATGGCTATGCTCACACATGACCAAGGAGTTGGGCTAACCATCATGTCTGATAGGCAAAAGGTAATACTACCTTACTTTTTTCTTCCAAAACTTTTATTCATGTGTAAGTGTTTGAGTTTCTTCTAATATGGTGTATTGATGTTTGCCTTTTTTAGGGATTGATTGAAGCAATGGCTGATGTTATTCCCAAAGCAGACCAAAGGTTTTGTGTTAGGCATATTTGGGCCAACTTTAAGCTCAAATTCACTGGAGCAACATTTAAGGAGCTTTTTTGGAGTGCTGCTAGGGCTAACACTTTTGTAAGTGAATTTGTTCCCTTTGATGTGCTAAGTTTTACATTTGCAGTACTTGTTAGATTGTGTATTGACAGTACATGTTTAGTTTTACATGTTTAGTGCTGTGTTTGATAATGCATGTGTTACATATATGTTTACTGACTTGATTAGTTGTTTTGTGTGGTTTAATATGTATGTAGTTGGCAGTTTGAGTATTTGTCTGATTGTATATGTATGCATTTGTCAGTTTGAGTGTTTTTCTGATTGTATATGTATGTAATTGTCAGTTTGAGTATGAGATAGCCATGGAATCTATCAAATTTTTCATGGAATCTATCAAATTTTTTTATGAAGCTGCATATGAGTACTTAGTGAGTATTCCTCCCAAACATTGGTGTAGACATGCTTTTCCACCTACTGCCAAGTCCAACATGTTGTTGAACAACATGTGTGAGACTTTCAATGCAGTAATCAGACCTGCAAGAGATAAACCAATCCTCACCCAAATGGAATGGATGAAGAGGTATATAATGAACATGAATAA